CCGCATTGAAAATTCCGCTTTAAAGGGCGGGTAAAGATGTGGGTTAGTGCAATCAATTTGGATTTACATGGCCTTGGTCTTCACTAGGTTTTGAGAGTCTACGATCGGTGTAACAACTCACTTTATCTTACTACAGTTGGCTCCTTGGAAAGGATAAGCCGGCTCCACCGGCTTATCCATCCCAACAACCGGTTTCACCGAGGTGCCGTGTATGTAATAGATCCCAATGCATGGATAGCTGTCATCACAGAAATTCAAGGAGTTAACTTTTCTTTACAAGGAGACAGAAAGAAACAATCAGTCGAGGTAAAATAATCGGATTTTTATAAGATATACGCATGTGTATATGTACATATTTCAGATGTATCAGCCCGTATAAAAAGATCACGGCATAATAATCCTAATGACAAACAAATTGGATTATGATTCGTTTGTGAGTGGAACGATTCCGTTGAACTGCATTCCCTACCAGTTATCGCTCAGTCACCACCTTTTGATGTACATCGGGTTAAACATAAACAAAGAACTAACATCTTACAAATCTTTTGTATTGCGGTAACCCTGATAACCCCTCACAGACAGCGTATTAAAATCCAAGCATCAACAATGGCATACCCACCACTAGGGAGTATTTCTATTTATATGAAGAACAAGAATACAGACAAAACTAACCTGTCGACCAACCGGTGATTCTCCGGTAGCAGCCTGACGGACACAACAAACCATGATTTCGATTAGACTGGTTTCTTGATTGGCATCCATCGGTTCTTCACCGCGACCGGGTTCTTCTAATAACAAATCCAACATTGCTTCCCAGTCGCGTAGCATAGGACTAAGATCCCACAGGCTGTCCACGAGATACGCCGCGTGTTCATGCAACTGATTGATACACAAAGAACAACATCGATAGTGAGAACAATTAAGAGGAAAACAATGAGAGAAATGGATCCACACGGTGAAAAAATTGGATAAATATCCACATGTGGTTGAAAAATGACCCCTTACCTCGCTCTCTATGAAGAATTGAACCAGATCCCGTATCAAGGGAGTGTTTTCACTACGACGTTTGCCTTTTTTCGTTTTAGTCGGCGGTGCGTGCGAGTCAACTTCAAACAGTTTAAGTGTCAGGAATTCGCCGGCTGCTTGTGCCAGTGGTCTATGAGTACAATAGACTAACTCGTAAATGTTCTCACAATCCTTGTCTTCCAGTACAGAATCGTTGTGTCTGAAGATGAAAAAAGTAGCATGTGTTTCGAATAAAATATTTAACGCAATACTGTTGCACACAAGACTTTCAGTACGCATATGAGATCAACAAAAGGCTGTTTCACACTGAATTACAACTGCTCAAATAAAGATTCACTTCAATGCGACTGATTGTATACTTGACACGTATTCACAGTTCTCTCAACTAACCATTTACAACATTGCTTGATCAACAGTTCTTCACTATCTTATGTCTCATTCTGCCAGATTCCGGAAAAGGAAACAACCTGTGTACCTTGCGCACGGTCATTATTGCCTTTTCCAAAACCGCATCTCCACTAGCGAGCGATAAAACCGAGCTTGACTTGCGTAAGTCAGGATCTCATCGTCGAGTTAACACCGAATAGAAGGAAAAAGAACACTGGCCACGTACTTTAGTATACACGATACCAGTTTGACCGCTTGGACCGCAACTTCAGTTTCCTTGTCCAGAGTCATATCGACCAAGCGAGATTTGAACCGTGATGTGAACAACTCCAGACTGTTGATTAGTGCAGGATCCTCATATAATGGTTGAAGTGCCCGAAGGCACTGAACACGAACATCACCAACACGGTCGAAGAGTGTCCAACCGACATACTTCAAGTAGCTGTCATCCAGGAACATTGCCGGGTAACGCCGCATCCATACACCGATTTCTTGCATGCAAATTGCACGTATTTCGGGTTGACTATCACTACAGACAAAAAGCAAGGAAAACCAAGCAAAAATGAGCGACAATGAGAAACAACTGAAGATAGTATTGCAGTTTCTGGCATCCTGATGGAAACCATTAAACACTTCTGTCAATAGTCAACAGCTAGGACGAGTAAAGTTGCACAAGGGCAGGGTATACCTGAAGACTGGAGGTGGTTATTGATGGCAAATCTTACATAAGCCGGTGAAATATTTGTGGTAATGAATCGATGGAGTTACCAGAAGAAACAATAACTTTAGTGTGTGGGACCAGGCACAAACTTGTGAATATATCGTATCAAGCGAACATGACGACGGCTATTTGCTGATTCTTTTCACACTACCCGTAAAAATGTAAGTAGCTAAACACTCAGGTGGTAAAAACTAAAACAATTGCGACTAATGGAAGCCAGATGAAATTGTACGTTGACGTACCGATACCGATGAACGAAAACTCCTTTGAATAAATAAATAAGCATATTCTTCACTTCTTCCATATTTTCCTCCAGTTCCTGTCGCCGTTGCATCAGTCCCTCTAACCGGTCAGACGCTCTTCGATTGAGCATTTTCGCGCGCTCCGCTTCATATTGACGTTGTGTGTTATCACGATTGATGCTGACATTTAAAGCTACATCCACCAAAGCGGTCATCATTTTCATCGAAGCCAGTGTGCTCGTGTGGCGGAAAGCTCGAACCTGTGAACCGGATAAATGATAGAAACACAATAACACCCTTATTATGGCAAATTCTACGCAACATCAACACCCGACACTTGTCCAATTTAACAATTCAAAATCAGGAAGCAATGACAATAGAACAATCATGGAAAACCAAACCTAGGTTTGTCAACACCAAACCAGTTGCAAACACGACATGAAATGTTGCTGCGCGAATGTTTGCACATACACCAATGGTGACATTTCGCAGCTGCTCGACTATTACTACCATACAAACAGAGCTCAACTCAGATGAACATTTTAAATGGTTTGATCACAAAACACATTGAAAAAATGATCACGTCTGCGACTAACCTGAGAATCCGTGAGGCCTGTAAGGAGAGATATGACTTGGTCAATCATACACTGATCGTAGATGATGCTGTATTGACATTGCCTGATCAGAACTTGGATAAATTCGACAAAATTTGAACGGAATCTTCGCCAAGCAGGACTGGACTGAATGAGAGGGTACTCTCCTGAATCTTCATCGAATTCCTCAGTCATTCGACGGATAATATCCGCATGTGTGGACTGACTGTACATCTCTGGTGTCACTTTGCCTGAAACAACAGAACGCATTCAATGTACTTATTAAAACCGAGCATACAATTATTAAAATGTTGATTTAGCATACGCGAAATGGAAACTTACACCGAGGTGAGAAGTGGTAACCAAAGAGTTCATTTCGGCTTAATTCATTTCACACAACCATTAAGCTTACACTTCGGAAAGATTAGTTTCATTGCTAACGTTTAGCTACCAATTTGGATGAAGGTAAAGACAACGGTAGAAAACTGAGAGCAATACCATGGCAAAGACAATGTAATGAGAGGAAATGAAGCAAATGCACAGATGGCATTGTTTACAACACTAAACCATATCAAAAAGTGTCTCTAATCATCAACTGGACTGATCCCGTGTTTCCCATTCAGCAAGCTCCTATGTGATCCAGTCCCCTGTTAGAAAGATTGTATTGTTCCGTGATCTGCTTGGCACACAATCTAGAATCGGCCCACCACCTGGTTAAGGTTTACGTACCTCCACGCAAGACCGCCTTAGTTTGATCATCCTTTACTTTCTCCAACCACTACCTGTCTCAGTGTCTTCATTGGTGTCAACGCCCCCCCCCCATCTTAAAGATATTGGGATCCTAAGGTATGACAATCGCGTATGGATTTTATGAAACCCCTTGTTTTCAGTGCCGTAACTGCAGATCGTAAACAAAGACTGAGTGTTGATCTGAAAACACCACATATACTCCGGTTTGTCATGAACTTTCATTGCCACAACAATCAGAGTAGCTAATGTTGATGATACCACTCATGAAATCATATCATCCTTTTGTACGACCATCAAAGTTTTCCATGGAGAACGGTTTCGTTTCTTTTGTGGGGGAGAAGTTGGTGTTTGACATGAACCATCGAATCTGCTGGGATTGCAAACGGACGACCCAGACGATTTGTGACTTTTCCAAGAGTCCCTTTTGAGTGACACCGGTGGCGAATAGCTAGTCTGCTCAGCGAACACTGTAGAGCATCCGAGAAAAGTTACTATTAAAGAACTGCTTGACTGGAATGTAAATATTTTTACCCAAGTAAAGGATCATGACTTTTTCGAGCTAGTAGAAGCCACGAAAAGTGAGGGATACCCAATGTTGATGGTGAACAAACATAGGAAGGTGAGGCGCACAGTGTAATGATCTGGTCAGTGCGGTACAATGGTTTGTGAAGAACAAATAAGCAACTGTAGAATGAGAAAAGACGAGATAAAAATCACAGTTACGAGAATTTACTGTTCAATTATGATAACTGGAAACCCTGGGGCTTGGAATGAGAAACCAAAAAACCTTCCTCAAGAACCAGACAACAAGAAAGCCGCTTACAGTCAAGTTTAGCCAGTAACAGCAGGTAACAGCTATGAACCTCGAACCTGAGAGCCTAGTGTACGAGATTGGCAACAAAAGGATTGAGCACAATCACAATTAAAACTAAAGATATCTACACACCCTTCCTGGTGCGAAATTGCGCGAGGCCAGTGGAAGGATCGGACGAGTAACGAAGAAGTTAGATGAAGATTAACAGTTGAGGTTTTGCGCTTATTGCTAGATTGTCGTGGAATGCGATGTCGCGCTGTGCATTGCGCAGCGAACATGGGTCTTACGAAAAGTAAAAACTAAAGCGATCATGTTCTGAGGCGAAAGCAAGAAAACCTTGACCAGTAGTTATGATAATGTAAGTCGTGTTCCGCCTACCGGTTGGGACTACCTGGATCAACCTAATTACTGTTCAAAGACAATAGATTGTCGAGTATCAAAGACAGTGGCGTATGGATACTTTTCACATCTAGCTTTCTCATATTCCACGTTTACTGGCTAGGTTTGGTTTAACTGGATTCCCAATATAGGGAGCAAACAGAGCATTAAATTTTTCGTTATTAATAAATTGCTTGCATCATGACCTGTTCGGGATAGTCTACATCCAGAATAACGATATTTCTACAATGTAGCTAAAACCAAGCGGCGGAAACATGAATAATTAGTAGTTCAGGGTGAGCTCTCCTAAAAAATACCGATAGGATAGTACATCATAATCATACACAACTCGGGGATTACCAAGGTAGCCACCAGGTGTGCGATAACAGAATTTACCAGAGGTGAGGAGCAATGTGGCTAGTTGAAAAGAATTACCTTTGCAGCCACTGCAGGAAATGAAGAACTGAATCAATTCTAGCATTGCTGGCTCGCGATTAGTTTTATACTGTTCTATCCAATCATCTACGACTGTTTGCGGGGCAACTCGTCCGCTTCGGATAGCGCCAAACAGTGTGTGTTCCTCCTCATCCATTCCGGGGATGACACCACCTGCACACAAGTCGAAAAACAGCGGAGACAGGCAATCAGTAATGATTGTGGGAAATCAGTACATGACAGTTTACACTCCCCATTCTATACAGTTGATCTGCAATGCTTACACAGCCGATCTTCTTCGAAAGGAAGTGTGTTCGTGGGTGCGTAGGAGATACGGGAATGACAATTGGGTTTCAAACAGGACCACTAAATCTTCTGAATCAACACGCACACAAAGGAGAAATTAAAATTATTAACTGATAAGAAGCTTGTCAGAACTTGTATTATTCAGATAGAAGAAAAATGAAAGACATGAAGTTGGTGCGACGAAAATGTTGCGCTACCTAATATAACACCACACAAGAAAAAGGTGTCCGTAGAGTTACTCATACAAACAGAGTACACTACAAGTTGAGCACCACTGGAATCAAAGACAATTAACGATCGTTTGACCACGATAAGACTGCACCTTGAGGTGGTGTGATAGCTCGCGCACCTCTCTGACCCAAGGAGCTTTCTTTCAAGTTGAAGATCTAATCAT